TACTTTAGTTTTGATGCAAAAACGCATGATCGCACCGGCTCGCGTGGTGCGTTCCAGCCTTTGTTCATCTCAAGACCTACAAAAGCTACGGGGGCTAAAATTTTGGGAACTAAAATTTTGGGAACTTAATCTACATGCATATATGGGTCCCCACCCCAAAATGGGCCTTACTGCCCGCGTGGTACCCACGCACGGGCTCGCCCAAGTTTTTTACGGACAAACTACTAACTCGGAAACCAAAAAAGCTGGGAAGCTGAAATTTGAAGCAGACGTTCCTCATTAGCGCAGGTATTAGTGAGCTCAAACCCAGGCACCGGGTATGCATGGTACCTACTACGGTCCCGTGAAATTTTTTTCGGGTAAGTTGCTAACTCGGGAACCTGAGAAACTAGAAGATTGGAATTTTAAGATGTTCCCGACCAAGTAGGTGTTAATGGGCTCGAACCCAGACACCGGGTATGCTTGGTACCCACATACGGGCTCGTGAAAGTTTTCTTCGGGTAAGTTGCTAACTCGGCGATCAGGGAAGCTAGAAAGATGAAATTTTAAGGGAGTGTTTCCCGACAGTTCTAGCGGCCAGTGTTAATTTGTTTAGCTGGAAGCATTTGCTGAAAAAGCTGGTGTCAGTAGCGATAAAAACTGCGGGGAACTAGGCAAAAAAAGCATCTTCGCACGGGCAGCCGGTGCGTTGGCCAATTATTTTTTTGGCTGTGCAGCCATACTTTCCAGAATTTTTGAAAAATTCGGAAAAGAAAAAAATGGAAATTTACAGCCAATTCTTCTGTGGTTCAATTGACCAATAAAAACAGCCTTTTCACCCACCGAGGTGCGCAATTCGCATTAAGAGGCAAAAATGTTGAAAGCAGTTTTGCTATGCTACTAATTTTTGGAAAACAATAATTTACGTCCATCGCATAAACGGGAGGCTACTTATCTTCCTGCCTATGGATTATTACTATTAAAGTACAGACAAACAAACAAAGTGCATTTGAAATTTCGAAATAACTGGTAAACGAGCACCATCGAACGAGCCAATCTCCATGGCGAAGTTCAAAATGTTGAGATATGTTTGCTCGGATGGCTGGTATACGAAAACTCCAGAATTGAAGCAGTCCGGCCAGCCAATATCGGCCACCGCTGATAACTCATCGTGCTCGAACAGCTCATCCGCATTTTGCAACACCTAAAGTGGCAGAATTTAAAAGGCAGGAAGCATAATATAGGAACCCTAGGTTACTGGATCAGTTGCTGTTTCTTCGTCTTCGTCGTGTTGCTTCTCGCCACTAATGCAGTCAAAAATATCTGGCGACGACTTAGAAAGCAGTAGGAAAGAAGATTCTTTAGAAATTTTCAATGCTGCTAGTAATTATGGACATTTTTAACTGAATTTAGTTGGAACTGCTTTACTTTTTGTGATGATGCAAAATTTTTTTCCTCAGTTCTCATTTTCTTTACCCTCCCTCCTCTGTTCCTCCTTTGTTTCCCTTTCCTTCTCTGCTTCCCTTTTTTCGCTTCAATTTATTTCAGGAATACAATTAGTAACTGATTTCAAAAGTCATTTGACCGTTTTTAGCAGAAATAGCTGAATCTTTTTAACGCCCTGTGCGGTGATTCAGTAGGAAATGCCTTATTACAACTACATAAGATAAGGCGATTTTGAAGTAAAAAGAAACATCCGATGAAAAAAAAGCAACGAACAAGGCAATCAGCGTCTAAGAAGACGCATTTGGTGTACTGCGTGAGCCTCCAGCAGTATATCTTGGTAAACGTAACGCCGAGATCCGGTCTACCAATTAATCGCAAGTTCGTTGTGTCTTCGCTGTCCAGCACATTTACCACATTCACCTCGTCAAATGTCGCTTCCAGTTCATCCCTGGCAAAAATGTGTGAAATTTTAAAGTCAAATTCACACTGTGCAAACAAATGGACTAAATGTTATTGAAAACATTCGATATCATCTCTAAGAGGTACAGCCGAGGTTTTTCTAATTTCGAAGACATCGACGTTACTATGCAATTTGCGTCAGCAACAGCTCTTCTACTTGTGCAGGAGCAGCGCTGATGTAAATTGCTAGAGACTGTGGCGCAAACAGCTCACCGACTGAAGATTGTAATGCACATTTAACTGCCAACTTTCATTTAACACAGTCTATCGATAGTTTTGTCGTGTAGTTACTGCAAGTCTGCATCGCTTTAAAAATAGGGTAGAACGTAGTATACGCACCAGCAGACAGGAGAACTTGAAAGCTGTCTTTATATGCTTCTGGTTTCATGTGCGGTTGTGTATTAAGCTCCAGAATTTCAGATTTCTAAATCTGATTTTCCAGAGCTTATTAATAGGAATTGTCTCAAAACAATCATTTTTTGATGAATGCAAAAACCCATGAAAAATCAAGAACATGAAGTTTTTGTGTCGCGCCTTTAGTTAGTACGAATGTCTGAAAACCGAAAAAGTTAGAAAAGCTGGAATTCCACATTTCCAGTAAATTCAG